TAGCTCTTCCACACCACACTCGCCAAAGTAATCCCTGAGTAGCCCAAAGCAGTTCTTCCATAGCACACTCACCAAAGTGATCCCTGAGTAGTTCAACGCAGCACTTCCACAGCATGTTCACCAAAGAGATCCCGGAGTAGCCCAAAGTAGCTCTTCCACAGCACGTTCCCCAGAGTGATCCCTGAGTTTTCAAGCTAGCTTTTCCACAGCGCGTTCACCAAGGTGATCTCTGCGTAGCCCAAAGTGGCTCTTTCACAGCACGCTCGCCAAACTGATCCCTGTTCACCAAAGTAATCCCTGAGTAATTCAACGTAGCACTTCCACAGCACATTCACCAAAATGACCTCTGAGTATTCACACCACATTCACCAAACTGATCCCTGAGTAGCTAAACCTAGCTGCCTAGCTCTTCCACAGCACATTCACAAACTGATTTCTAAGTAGTTCAACTTAGCTTGTCCACAGCAACCACAGTTTTTAGTAGCGCAACTTAGCTTCTCCACAGCACATTTACCAAAGAGATCGCAGGATAGTTGTAGACTTTGTATTGTACTTATCAAAGCAGTTTTTTCCCCACCCGTAGGACTGTGGGGCTGTTAGATTTTAAGAACTTTGGACTTCAGTAGACTCGCTACTTCTGCACATCCACCAGAGTGGTCCCAGCGTAGCTCAGAGCAACCCAAAGAACACAGCACATCCACCAGAGTGGCCCACAGTGGCCCAGAGTAGCCCTTACACAGCACATCCACCAGAGTTGTCCCGAGTAGCCCAGCGTAGCCTTTACACCAGCACATTCACCAGAGTGCTCCCAAGTACCAGTTCCACAGCATATCCACCACAAGTTGACTTGGCAGGGATGTGGGGTTGCCAGGCATTTAAATATCGAAGTTCAGAAACCTCACAAGTAAGTATTCGATGTGTGGTTTTGTTTTCAATAAAGAATCCTTTTCGCGCCGAACCGCTTTTCTCTTGTGAAGACCAATTCTTTGAGGGTGGGGAATTTCGAAGTAAAGTAATTTTGGAGCGGCCTCCAACCTAAGAGCAAGAAATAGACGAAGAAGTCAATCGCGGTGACTCAAAATATCAATAGTAACTGGTCACTTCTTTTCTGAGGATGCCACTTTGAGATGGCTTGTTGCTTCAATGAATCAGACACATGGAGAAATGACAAAGAACCGACAAAAGCCTCAAAAGCCTGTTCGTTCCAATGCCTGGTGATCCAAGGATCTGTTTCAAGCGCCTTAAAAGTGTCTTACTATGCCTTACTGCTTCCTGTTCTCTCTATGTTCAGGGCTCTGGCGGCTCACTGCTTTGCTACTTAGATTTGTTTCTATGTTTAGTGCTCTGTCAACTAAAGCAAACCGTGGGAGTGGTTCTACACCGGACGAGTTCCAAAGTACTGAATTTGTCATGGCATCATGCCATGTGATTTGGAATGCCCTTCTCCATCGACCAAACCGCGACCAGTCACTGGTTGGGCGGACCTTCTTCTTCGTGGATCCCGTCGTTCAGCCCCCCCAGGTCGCCTTTCCACCACCCGCCAGGTGAAGGCGGTATCCCGGTGCAGCACCAGTGAAGGCGGTTCCAGGTCGTGATGGTCAAAACCCCACGGTCACCGTTGCGGCCCAAACGGGTTGTCAACACCCTTGTCTTCCACCCAGTCGTGATAGGCTATCACACACGTGCATTGGAAACCACCGGGTCGGTCCACACTAGCTTGCACCCTGGCAGTTTGACCAGATAGAACAGTAGATCCCCAGTAAGAATGTGTTGGAAAGTGTTTCTGTGTATTTGGGGGCCAGATATATGTATTACTATACTCATGTTTCGTGATTTGGTTGCTGGCATGCAATCGTTTTGACACAAAGAGCTATGGGTCATCCTGAGTTTAGGTCTCAACAAGTCCTAATACTCTGCTGGTTTGCCATGTAGCAATGTAGCACATCGGGGACCCTGCTTCTGCGAGATGGCCAAAGTTTTTGAACATCTAATCAATCTTGACTTGTTCGTGACCCAACAAGGGGTTTTGACCAGTACAGTTCATCGACCTGTTGTACTGAGAAGTCAAACCCATGACTCTGGTAGCGGTTGACTTGGATATTGCCCCGGAGAGCGCAGCACCAGGCGCTTGTCACAAACCATTCCCAGTTTTTGCCCAAGGCATGGTGCGTCAAAAAGGTCTCCGTGGGAAACCATGCTTGTGGGAGATATTTTCCCAACCTCCGCCTCATGACCATGCCATTTGTTTCTTTTCTTGGGGACACTGATAACCCACTTCACCAGAATCGACTCCGACGTTCTTGGTACGTTCTTTTTCGCAGAACCAACTCCTACAAGTACATCATCCAACTGGTGCACCGTTCTGTTTTAAGCATTGGACACCCTCAGCCTTGAGAGCCTCGGTCCCAGTCCACAGTCCCAGCGGTTGAGAAGAGATATGGGCGATGACTGACGAGTCAGTCCTGTTGGACCCAAGGTCCAGGCCCCAACGCTCCAAGTCTTCGGGTGTTTTTGGAGAGCAGCGAGCAGTCACAGTCTTTGTTTGGGGTGTGACACAGATAGGTCAATGAAAGGATGCACCGAAACGCACCATCCTTAGAATACGCTTGATTTTGTTTATTCGATTCTACTCCAACTTGTCAAGTGTAGGGTCTTTGGCCGCAGATTGTCCCTGATTTGCTAAGAAGATGGATGTGTTCTTCCATCCGTTTTCGTTTGTTTAACTTGGCGTGCAGGATCGATCTCAAAGAGACATTTGGACAGGAATAACACACCCAGAGAGATGTTGGACCGGCCATTCCATATATATGTTTGTTCACAGATAAATCATGGTCCATGAAATTGTAGACTCTTGATGATCAACCTCCCCATTTGGATTGTAAAACCTCGGTTTTTTTTTACTATATAATCAAGAGTCTACATTGGATTGATTATATATATGATTGATTTAGAACAGACCTGGTGGGCGGGGAGGCCACCCAGACAGCTTGCATCTCCAAAGGGGCCCAGCATACGCGCAAGTTGCGTCGCGTCGCCCGGTTGGGCGACGCGTCGCGTCGCTGCCGCACAGCCAGCGATCTCCCAAAAATGCGTTGCTTGCGCCACTTCAGTCGCTTGAGTTCAACAAAGCACAGATCAGTGGCGGCTTTTGCACCAGAACTCTCGAAAGACCGCTGCAGATCCAAGATCCGTGTCGGTTCTGGATCGTGTGTGGTACCTCTATGGGTTCCATATGGTTCAATAGACAAACTCTTAAGATTTTGACATAGACAAACTCTTAAGATTTTGACATGTTTGGGCTGATCATTTGCCTGAGACCTGAGGATGACTGATTTCGGTGTGACTCCACCGGTCCATGGTCCCTCGCTTTGCATGTGCACGCCTCAAGGATCCCACCCGTCCGGTCGAGCAGTCGGCATCATGGCACCTAAGAAAAGCGAGAAGAAGGCTGAAAAGGCAGAGAAGGCGTGGGAGAGAATGTTAGTATTTTTGTTCAGCGCAGGCTTGGATTTTGGGGCGATTCAACCGACACGCGAGTGTCAGGACTTCACAGTCTTCAACATGCTTGAAACGCGCCGGAAACCTTTCGAGAGGACACGTTTTCGGATGGGCGAGGTTTGTGGCGGTAAATGCTTAGAGGCAAGACGTGAGGATTCCATTGGACACACCGGACAACTTGTCCAGGAAGTGGCTTCACCTGTTACCACCGGACTAGAGCAACCAACAATGCGAGGGCACGCACATTGACAGAGACTAAATCTTGGTTTGATTTTGAATTCTCAGATGATAACCATAGAAAACCCAACAAACAACACTGCAACCATGTGTAACCCCAAAAAGCGCTCCTCCAATCTTTTTCCATCTTTTTCCAGTCGTGTCACTCCTGGTCACAGGCCGCAAAGGCTGTGAAGGGAGGTGTGAGCAAGAAGGCGAGGACGTCGGTCGATCTGACGCCACCCATCGCTATTGGGTTGGAGGCCATCGTTATTAGGTTTTAGCCGGTCTTGGACACCGCAGCATCGATCGTGTCGTGTCGCAGGTGAAGAAGATCCGCACCAAGGTCCGCTTCTACCGGCCGAAGACCTTGATCAAGGCCGGAGGAATCAGCATGGATCAACTCAGCAGCTATGGATTTCAGCAGTTATGGATTCCGGACAGAGTCAATTGCTCCGAAACAGTGGTCTTCAGTGGGGGGTCTTTCACTCCGCGGTCTCAGCTGTTGCGAAAGGCGCGCAACCCCAAGTATCCACGCAAGTCCGTCGAGAGCCTTGGCAGAGATGGCCCATTTGGGTAGGTGTTTGAAATTTCTTTACAAGTCAAGTGGAAGGGTACGGTATGTCCTTGTAAAAAAGAACACATACACAGTCTTCTTGTCTTCTTTTTGTTTGCATGGGTTTTAGGTGGCTCCTTTCCAATTGTTGAAAGTTATAGTATATCACTAGGCCGTCCTAGCTGTAATCGTTCGGCCTGACATGGGTAATCGATGGAAATCGTGTTCCCAGAATCGAAACGCGGATTTGCTCGGCCGCCGTACGTGTCCATGTCTCCCAATCCATTGGTCGAATGCGCGCGAAACGACGCGCGGTTTTGCGCTCCTAGCTTCTGCGGGGAATTCCACAAGATCAGGAGCCGGGGGGACAAGCTGGACAAGTACCGCATCATCCAGTGCCTTGGAAGAAAGGCTGGTGATGGCTGGTGTTTTTCCAACGGGGCCCTTCCGGGCTGATGAAAGCACTGAGACTGGTCTTTCGTGGGGCGGGTGTAGATGGAGTTGACTTTTATTAAGTTCATATTAGTTCATGTTCAAGATTGTTCAATCCACGGTGTGATTGCAAGCTGAATCACGTGGTTCATATATCGCATCATTCGTTCTTGAAAACCACAAGCGAAGAGGTGAATAGGTGTTGCAATGTATTTGGATATGATTATGCTGTACTCATGCTCCTAGTCAGCCTTCTTGGAATACAGACTTCAACAATGGTCAAAGCAAGTTTCAATGACTTTTGTAAGTGCCGGCAAGGGCTGGTTTGATGCAACAGGTGCCAGGATGCTAAGAATGTAACAAAGGCGTTGCTTGCACTTCAAAGACTCAAGAATGCTGTTAGTGAGCTCCCAAATTCATCAGCCACTCGGAATCCTTGAACCGCAGTAGACGCCTCCGTTACCCCGATGAACACGAGGTGGTCCAGTCCGCCTCCGAGGTGCCCTGTGACCACAGAGTCTGCCATGAAGAAGCAGCTCGGCTTGAGTCTGTTTTGTGACGGCGCGGAGGAGCACGGTCCCTCGGGTTCGCACGGTTCGCATGGTCCGCATGGTTCGCATATAGTTCCATTATTATTGTTCCAATATGGCATTTGAGATCCAACTTTGTACCTAGTGGTGGGACTGGGGAAGCATTTTAATTCAAATATATAAAACATCATTTAATTATATTTCTGGTTGGGACTCGGTTTCCGCCAACAAAGCAACCACTGTGATCAACCCTTAAGAAGCCTCCGCGCGGATCAGTGCGGTGGCACAGCAGGAAGGCATGGAAGTCACGAGTGGTTTAAGAAAGGTGTCCAACAACTGGTGGACCGAAAAGAAAGCTTTGGGTGACCAAACACCTACGTGGAGGCCATCGCTCTTATTAGGGAGTAGGAAGAGTGTAGGTACTGACCCAATTTCCAAGAAAAGAGGACCACTACCCGACCCCTCGCTTTTCTCTGGAATCTCCGGGCTGGAACTCCAATATTAAGTGCGACAGTGGAAAGAACACGCATACTGCATACTGCTGGACCCTCAGGCTTCCTAAGCCAGGCTGGTTTGCCAATATGCCATTATATACCTAGACCCCGCAAAAGACTGTTTTTCCGGTGGGTGCAATTTTCAGGCAAAGCTCAAAAGAACAATACAACAAGCAGATTTGGTGTCGATTTTTGTTACTTCTGCGTTGATTTTTGTCACTTCTGCGTCATTTTGGCCTCATGTTTTCTATCGCGAACTTGCTGCATTTTTCTGCACAATGTTTTCTGGCGAGACGGACAAAAAAAACATCGTTTCAGGGTCATATAGTAATCACCACAAGGACCTCCTGGTGACGGAACCAACAAGCCTTGTTTTACCACCGGTTACTCAACAATTCAAACCGATTGCCAATGCCAAGCCAGCACTGGCAACCATCCTGGATGTTCCAAGAACGTCTGGAGGCATAGTTTGGCATTACAAACGCCAAAGGAAACACCTAATGGAACGCGCTCGTGTTGAACCCATATGCGCTGCGGTGAAGACGCACTCTCAGTGTGCTTTTTGGGTGGGCTTCTCTAGGGATCACTGCAGGGTGGGACTCTGAACATGAACGCCTCAAGTTTCAACATTGTATCAGCCCAACACTCCCACACCGGTGGACAGTCAACGTCATTAACATGATCGGACGAGTTTTAGTGGGCGAAGGCATGTGGCGCGAATCCTCACGTGGCGCTCAATCCTGCTAGTTCAAGCTGTGCCACAGGATTGAGGAGATCAACACATTGGTCTTCCTGGTTGATGTGAAGGCGGACGCCACGGACGACGGACGCCACTGACGGACATGTCCAGACGACTGTGGCCCCTGTGTTCATGTGTCAAAAACCTTAGTTTGCGGTCAAAATCAGATGGTAAATGTCCCTGTTTGTTTAACCATCATTGTCCATGGGACTTTATGGAGCTGGGCACATGCAACTGAGTAATTCAGTAGTCAAGGTACGAAATTTATGACTTCAATGATGACAACAACATATATATATATATATACCTTAGCTATAATATATAAAGTGATCATACAAATTATATCAAATTATATAATCACCACCAGGAATTAAGAACGTCCAAGAGGGCCGTGGCCGTACCCTTCCGGGTACCCTTCATTGAAGCGTGGAAATGTACTGACTCTGTTGACCGGTGGAGTCTGACCCCGACACTGCCCGTTTTGGGCAAAATTGACTGGACATCAAGCTGGTGCATTGGGATGCGGACATGTTTTACTGAGTCGAGGTGGATCATGCCAAGCATCGACCGGAAGGTATACGTTCCCCTGAATTCTACGCTACGAACGTAGCTCCTGGCCTTACTACTAGTACATGTTCTGGCTAAAACCACCCCCTCGTCGGTGGCGGACCAAGCCTTGGTGCAAAAAAAGTCACTCGCGTCGGACAAAGGCCTCGAAGCCCAAGATCAAGGAGGAGCGGGTGACGGACGGCGGGTGAAGCGTGATCAGCCTTTGACCCCGGAGAATCTTCGAGGAACGTGTGACCCGGGCCATTGTCCCTTTGTATGGCACACCATGGCAATGGCTTGGAGTCTGAGTTGTGTTCTATTTGTTGTAATATGTTGTACAACATTAGTCTCATGTACAATGAAATGCCGGAGAATTCGTTTCAGGGTGTCCAGTCACAGCTTGCAAGTCAATGTTTGTTGATTCACGTGGTAGCTCACTCATGGTCCTCATGTGTTTTTTTTACTTGTAACTCGTTGAACTGGTCTCCCAAGCAGCTTTCAAAGGCCGCTTTCCCATTTGGCTTTTCAAAGGCCGCTCCACCGAAACCCGAAACAACAACCCTCTCGCTCCCAGGCGGTGAAGGAGCTCTACGACGTGAAGTGCGCCAAAGTGAACACCTTGATCCGTCCTGATGGGCACCGGTCTCGGTGGAACGGCCGGTTGACTCGGTCGAGTGTTCACTGCGCCGTTTGGAACGGCCGGTCTCTGCCTTGGTCTCCGTTCGGTCGGCGAGGCCCGCCATGGCTCGCCCTGATCTCCGAGGGTGTTTTGTGTAGCGTTGAGATCAGGCAGACCGTGCAAGGGATCAGGCAGACCATGTGTGTCACCGCTTTGTTCGTCCTGATCACCGTATGTGTCACCATGTGTTGTGTTGCTCCCGGATCAGGGTGGGATCATGAACAAGCGACCGGTCTATGAGTCTATAGTCTATGTGTAAATGGAGAAGAATCCAGCTGTGGCAAAACCATGAACCTCACAATCCTCACAAACATTTTCTTGACTCTACGTTCGACTAGCACTGTTTCCTCGGTGACGTAGACCTCGCAGGCATGATGCCGGCATGATTTTCGGTCGTTTCGGCCTACCCAGGAAGAAGAAGGCCTACGTTCGCCTCACCCAGGACTATGATGCCCTGGACGTGGCAAACCGCATCGGTCCCTCGGTGGGATTTTTCTTCACAATGACTGCATGGAGAATCATGGATATAGCTCCCCAAAAAATCAAGACATATACTGAAACAACATGAAAAAAACACTAAGTTATATGAATGGATGGCGTTTCACTCTGATAAAAGACAGAACTTGCCCAGACTCACTTGCATAGGCTCTTTTTTGACTCATGGATCATTGCGCCAGACTGGGTTCTTTTCAGATCGAAAAAGGAGAATCAACTCGGCTTCCCGTGATCTTCGCATGGCTTCTTCGCTTAGATGACTGATCCAGGTTTGGGCCCGGTGGGGACCAGGACCTGGAAAAGTTGCAAACATCTAAAGTGTCATAAAGCGTCAATATTTCGGAGAACAAACAAAAACTTCAATCTTTGGGGTTTGGTCATATTATGGTCATATGAGTCATATGACATGAGGATCATATGGATGGTGATATCATGTGATCAACAAAAAAACAAATAAAACTCCATCTGTGTACACACACCCGGACCTACAAATCCACCAGGGTTCTTGAGACAACATAATTTTATCCGGCAATAGACCTTCATGGTGGACAAGAATGATCTACTGTATCTAAATGAAGACATGCCTTGGGGCATTTGGGTGATCTCAAATAGACCTACGAGCCACAACTCTGATTTGCATTCATCTTCTTTGCTGAGCATCTAAGGCATCATTTAGAGGACTGCCGGCCAAGTACTGTTGGAGGTTGTTTGTACTTGCAACTCAAGGCGCTTTGCCATCCACAAGAAACATCAAAGAAACTCAGTTGGACATACCACGACATGCCTTGAGTTGTATATCGTGAAGTGATGTACAACTTACTCTCCTAATAGTTCCATCAACACATTCAGAAACTTCCCTAGGGGAGAAGAGGAACATGTCAAAGGAACGGTTCTTGGGCCTCCCTCGGTGGATGGTAGTCAGTCATGAGGAGTACTTAGTTGTTTGAAACCCGTGAGTTGGCTTTGTTTCTCTCACTCCGAGGTAGCAGGTGGTTTTTTTGTGTTTATGATGTGGGATGACGACTGATACAACCGACAGCGGTCGTCGTGCGACGTCCAGGCGCTCCGGTCGTCGTTTCATTCGACAACCACAGCGGTTCGACGGAGCGCCGAAAGCCACCTCTTCGTCATTGGACATATCTTTTCGTCGTGGTTCGATGGAAGATCCCAGACACGACCGCCATCTGGGACTGCCGGACGGCCGAGAAACGGCCAGGGGTGGTGCCAGGGGGGTCCGCAGTCCCAGATGGCGGTCGTGTCTGGGGATGAGTCGGACCCGATGAGCAGGACACGAGCAGAAAGAAAGCAAAACGCGAAACCGAGCAAAACGCGTTTGGAGCGGGAGAAACCGACACCAACACCGACACCAAAACTCCGAGGGTAATCGTTTCACGGAGCGACTGACTCTGCGACGCGGCACACAGTTCTTCGAGGTGCGTTCAGAATCATTTGGAGGATCAACCCTCCAAAAAAGATGAGGAATCAAGAGGAGCAAAACCCCTTTTTTTTTCAATTTCTCAAGTCTGCGGCGAAGGAAGAAACCCCTTTTTTCCCCACCCGTAGGACTGTGGGGTTGTTAGATTTTTAGAACTTTGGACTTCAGCACGCCCGGTAGCCCAACTTAGCTCTTCCACAACACACTGGCCAAAGTGGTCCCTGAGTAGCGCAACTTAGCTCTTCCATAGCACATTGGCCAAAGTGGCACAGCACACTCACCAAAGTGGTCCCTGAGTAGCCCAAAGTAGCTCT